GTACGTAGTACGTAGTACGACGAACGACGACGACGTACGTACGACGTACACTACTACTACGTACGTACGTACTACGTACGACGTAACGAACGTACGTACGTCTCTCTCTCTCTCTCTCTCTCTCTCTCTCTCTCTCTCTCTCTCTCTCTCTCTGTTTTACATTATTTAGATTAGTAGTTTATTTGGTATACTGGATTTCAGGCAGAGGTGCTAGCAAAATACAAGCCAACAATCAACGGCTCACTATTGATAGCAAACCTGAAACACATTGAAGATATCACTGCGGATTCCCTGGAATTCTTCAAGAGCACGCGCCATACAATTCTCTACTATGAAGATCTCATCAACAATCAAAAGGTATCCCATTATCACACGTGTGTGTGTGTGTGAGAGAGAGATGTTAAATGCTCGAGAAGGCTGACCCTCTGGCTGTTAATGTTCTGCAGAAATGTGAGAGAGAGAGAGAGAGAGAGAGAGAGAGAGATGTTAGTGCTCGACAATACTCACTGCTGTTGATGTTCTGCAGAGGATGATGGATGTTCAAGAGTTCCTTAGGGTGCCTCATAGGGATTTGCAGAGCCATCAAGTCAAGATTCACACCAGGCCGATTTCTGAACTAGTGGAGAACTGGAATGAAGTCTACAACACACTTAAGGGCACCCAGTATGAAATCTTTCTCAATCAATCAGACTACCCATCTAATTAATATCTTTCTTCACAGGAATTATGTATGTATTGAAGCTCTGAATGTTGTAAATACACGTCATTCTTTATTCTTAACCAGAGCACCATCATGAGTTCATGACCGCTCGCCCTACCTCATCTGTAATTTTTCTGAGAAAATTTTGACTGATGCACCAGCATCCCTATGTTGTCTCCCTTGGAGCCTAATTTAAATCAAGTAGTTGTAAAATGTTGCAACATTTCAATGAAATCAGAGGTTACGTGGCACGGCTTTCTAGTGCTTAAACTTGTTCCCCAACTTCTCTCTCTCTAAAAATCACTGAACTTGTGATTCAAAGCTCTTACAATTACTAAAAATTGGATCATTGCTGTTCAAGCTTAGGAAGTTATTTTCAGGCACATAAATCTTTTATTTTTGTTAGGGTTGGATGCCAAGCTAAGTTTCAATCCTCGTAAGGGTCCTAAAAATAGCCCAAGATGGGGAAGGTGGTGGTCTGCTGGGAGAGTTTTTTCTCGAATAACTTTCCCAAACAACCCAGAAAGTTTAATTGTTTAAATTAATGAACAACTTCTCTAATTAAGTTATGGGATTGTATACAATGAGACCATTTACCTTTGGTAAATAGAAAGATTATACATTGGTTTGTTCAAAGAAATATACGGGTGACATATTTTTGGGAAAGACGCATTTTATTATGTTAAGATAAGGAAGGCCATGCTTGAAAAGCCATGGAGGCAAAGTTAATGCTCCATTGGGTCCTGGTGTGTAAGTATGTTTTATCCTCCTATTCTTTATAATATCATATTTGTGATAGCTTTGAAAGGAATATAAAACGAAAAGAATCATGGTAGTAAAGCCACGACAGTTTATTCAAAGTTGATATTCATTTGGGCCCTACTTTGTGTAGAGCCCTGGTCCATGTCCCTCTTTTTATCGGACAAATCTGCAAAGAGTTCGAAGCTCATATTCTCTCACTATGCGTTGTAGCAGTTGCTTTTAGCTCTTAATACTTCACTCTAGGTGCAGCTTCACGTCCCACACTTATTGCTACAATTTACTTTTGTATGGGAATTATACCCTCTCTTCAATGTTGAGCACATAATAAACGGGCAATTCATGTGGGGTCCGGTCCAGGTCGGAATGACCCCGGTCTAGGCCTAGGAGGGTCTTGCCACACCCTGCTGAGTCTAGGGCTGGGTCCAGGTCGGATGCACTTAGGCAGGTCCAGGATGGACATGGACCTGTTCCAACCCACGTCTATCAGACCGGGACAAGGGTCAGGTCAACTCGATCGCCATTTTTCACTCATGAACCCATGTATGTAGCCTAGTGGTTTTTCACTCTTGCTCTCTTTGCAATGTTTTCTCTCACTCTCGGGCTAGACTCTAGGTTCAAAGGAGCAAAAGCACTAATCCATCTTTCTCATGGTGGTGGAGCACTTATTCATCTTTCTAGTGCTTGTGACCTACACCATGTAAAAAGCTCAGCTATAGATTCCCCTTTTCCCCACTCTTTTCCTTTTCCTTGGTTGTTTTTAAACCTTTACATTTATTTTATCTTTTGAGTTGAGAGACGGAGTCCAAAAGAAATGTCTCATGAGAAGCACACATTCAAAAGTGAATAATGTTGGACCACATTACACAAGGGACATAGCATTTTTTTTATTCACTTTCCGTAATCAAGCCAAATTAGTGTAGGTATATTGAGCAATTAATTTTAATAAAATACAAAATTTCTTCATTTAAGAGATATAACCCTTGAATTCACCACAAAAGCAATCCATGAAAGGTTTTGAACCAATGGGGAAGCACTCACTTTGTAAAGCAAATATTTATTATCAGCAAGACATTTTTCAACAAAAGAAAAGGTATTTATTAAGAAATGAAGTGATTAACGTATGTAACATCAACAAAAGCCAAATTTACTTATTAAGAAATGAAGTGATTAACGTATGTAACATCAACAAAAGCCAAATTTATTTATTAAGAAATGAAGTGATTAACGTATGTAACATCAACAAAAGCCAAATTTATTTGTTAAGAAATGAATTGATTAACGTATGTAACATCAACAAAAAGCCAAAGTATCTTTACCTGCAATAGAGTAGATACTTTTTTGGGTTTCCCACGATAGATGGAACTATTTTAACGTCTACTTATATTTTTTATTTAATTTCAAAATACCCATTAAAATCCACATAATCATGAGTTCAAATAGTTGCAAATGGGTAAAACCTTTCGGGTATTTTGATAAGGGAAAAGTTTGTATAGAGCCAAGGCTCTAAACAATCAAATTAGAACCTACCCCAAAAATTTCGCTAGAAGAAATTGTTTTGATGCTCAAATATCCTCAAATTGATCATCTGGACATCATGCATGGACTTGAGAAAGAATGGAATTCAAGTTTTGAAAATAGTGTATTTTGTAATACAATTTTAGACCGTCAATTTTCAAGATTTTCAAAGTTTTCATGGATCAGTTGATCTTTTGAAGCTTTAAACTTTATAAATAAAAATGAAAATATATTTTAAGGCTATCACAAAAATTTCCAGTGTCGAAACCACATTTCTGGATACTATTTGAAGATAGGGTCTAATTTGTTCGTTGAGAGCCCTAGGCTCTGTACAAACGATAAGATAAATCTCCCTTTCTTAAATTCTTATTCAAAAGTAAAGAATTCAGGTGTCCCATTTTCTTTTCTATTTTTCTCCCTTTTCAATGTAATTAAGTGGCCAACCCATAGTTTTTATCTATAGCGAAAAAATTTCATGCTCCAATGATAGCATACTGTCTATTTACTCCCTCTGTCAAAATCCAACCTAGGAGTGTACTTAGGACCCCAAATTTTGGTAATGTAACCTCTTAAACCTAGCAACTAACCTCAACAACTAAAAAAGGAAGGAAAAAAAATCAAAATCATAATCTCTATATGCGTGAAAAAAGTAACATCCCAGTATCAAACAGGGACCATCCAAATTTTGTGAGCAAAAAAACTCCAAGCTTTGAATAACTCAAAATCTATTTTCTTTTAAATTGATCAATTGATTCTTAGATGGATCCCAAATATCAGATAAAGAAATCTTTTACATTATTCTATACAAGCTTCTATCTATAACACTATACTAATTTTTAGATCTAATGGTTGAAGAGCAAATGTGTCTTATTATAATTATTTTAACCTTCCTAGTGGGGGGGGAAAACTGGAAAAATGAGATTCAAACCTTGGAAGCTAGTATAACAGCTCCTATCCTATTGGATGATGGTATTGGTGTTGATCAAATAAGCCAAAAGGCCAAACCTGTTAACTTTATTCCCTACTATAAAGCTAAATGACATCATTGTCATTTGTCAATGTCATTGAGCACATTAATCTTTTTTAGGGTAAATCTCCGATGCTTTTTATGGCAATGCTAGACCATCAATGGCTGGTTTCAACTAATGGTCCAATCTAAGCACAAGGGGCTCCATTTGGGGTTAGATAAATAGGTATCCATGTCTTTTAACTGTTTAATATTAAGTTGTGGGTGGAAAATGGGCAAGCCGATTCGGAGCCGCCTGAGTTGGCTTGGACTCGAGGTTCCCCAGTTTCAGATGGCTCAGAATTAGAGAATTACCTCGAGTTGTCCAAAACCAAGCAGTGTAGATCAATCTGAGATAAATATTTTGGGACAAATTTGAATAAATTTGATGAAACAATGAGAGAAATAAAAGATTTTCAAATTTTGGGTTCAAAACCCCCAAAATTTGAACTTTGGATTTCTTCTATTTTGCCTTTCGATCCAACAACTTCTTATAAGGACCTGTTAAAGGGCTCCAAGGTGAACAATTTGAAATTATTTTGTTGAAAATTTATAAAAAAAATATATACGAGGAGGTTGATCCGGTTTTTAGGGTTTAAAATCCTGAGATTTTAATGAAAATAAGAAGAGAACCAACCCGGTACTTGCAAATCTCGAGCCAACTTGGGTAATTCCAAATAAGAACTTTTTTTTAACCTTGAGCCCATTAAAACCATGAAAGATTCAGCAGGTCATGTCACTACATGATTTTCAGGGAGACTTAGCAGAAACAAAGATCGGCAAATTTTGAGAATGGGGTTGGGGTTGTGGTGGTTATACCACATGGGGTTTAAAAGCCTTGACCTCAATTCTCACTGACAGATTCAAAAATTGATTATTTATCAAAAAAAAAAAAAAAAGATCAACTCTAAAATTGGATGTCATGTAGCATATATTTATTTCTTAAAAGATGTCCTTTTATTAATGGACGTAGGAAAAAATGTCCAAGGGAAACGTTAGTCTTATATACAACTCATTCAGGTCCCACTTTGGCCTTATGTTTGGGGTTTCCATTTTGGCCTTAATAAACAACTATATTAATACATTACAATTCTATAACTAAAGTGATTTTGATCTTGATGTATGTTAGACGATATTTCTCCTTAAAAGGATAACATTTATTTGCATATAGGAAACAAATTTAGAATAGAAATTATGAATACATACACAAATGTCAGTATCTAAAGGTGTCTAGTATTTTGGTCTAAAAAGCTGATACAAGTAGAAATGTTTATGTATTTATTGATTATAAATAAACTATTATTTATTGAGAAAATATAGAATGAGACCATTTACATTTTGGTACAAGGTGGTCACATTAATCTTGATCATTAGATGTGAAATTGGGTGGTTGCGATTATTCCATTGATCAAATTTCAAAAGAAATTTTATCGAACTTTGTGACACATCCAAGCTATCGAATTTAACATCGGACGATTGTAAGTAATTCTGACCACCTTGTATCAAAGATAAATGGTCTCATTTATCTTTGATACACAATCCCTATATTTTAATATGGGGCAAACTTTACATGTGATGCCACCTGGACATAAAATACATATGAGTTATTGTCTAGTGCTTTGGTCTAAAGAGTCGATATAGCTAGAAGTGTATTTGTTTTTTAATGGTAAATAATTCTTACTTATTTTAGTACAAGAAAAACTTTGCATGTGATGCCATGCACATATAAATATATTTGACCCCAATTTCTAGCATTTGATATGAATGATAACTTTAGACATAATCTCACAAGTCAATTTCTAAGCATGTGATATTTGATCGGACAGCTTAGAGTATTTTATTTTTCATATTATAATCATTTTTAGTGAAATTTAGGCCATGCACTCCTCTCACAAGGGTGCCTACCAAAAATAAGAAAAAATATTCATATGAAAAATGGCATGATACCCCTAGAACCTGCAAGGATATTATGGTAAATTTTTAATGAAATTTTTGTTTTTTGCTAAGTGGACTCCTAGAAGGTGAAGGCATGCCTTTAATTTCATGAAAAACTAATTTGTAAAAAAAAAATAATAATAAATTCAAGTGATATTTAGCATGATACTATGATTGAAACTATCCTAATCATTCATTCAGACCAAAGGCCTAGGAATAGATGTCGCTTATATTTTATATGCAGGTGGCGCCAAATAAACTTTTCCATTTAATATATATAATATAATTTTTTTTATATGCTGTTGGATAAGTGGATAAAGAGGTCGTACAATAGGGGATAGGATGAGAAGGCTAAGGTTCAAAGTTTTAGCATCAATATTTAATTGCTATTTATAATATTAATTGTCCTCTAGCATCAATATGTGTCAAAATGCTGACAATGAGACGGTAGCAAAAAAAAAAAAAGTCCCCATCATAGTAGGTGGTGGTAACAACCATTTTTGAAGCCATTTTTACCTAATTTTCATGGGTCCCATTTTAGCCCTAGGGACCTGAAAGCATGAATGCAATAAATTCATTTTTTTGTCAATTTGTGGCAACAAACGGTAGCTATCTGAGCAAGTTTCAAAAAGAAACTTTACTAATACCGTAATGAAACCAAAATTCAGTCCAAATTCTAATTTCTCTAGGGTTCTACATTTCAGCAGGAGATTCTAATGAGGCCAATCATTGGAAATACAAATGGATTGGCCTATCTTCTTAAAAAGAGCTGAAATTTGTACCCTTTATCCAAGTTTACCAGCTAAAAAGTGATATAAAAATATATTAAAGAAATGAATGAAAGACGCTTAGAATCTTACGGGGACAATTTTTGATGCTCATCTCAAGAGAATTAATCAGCCCGACAAGAAGCGACATTTTTGTAATTCCTCCTGTACACAAGAAAAGACCCAAATTTTAGTGTAATGTCAAAAGAATATGTGCTCCTGCCCGATCATATCCTCTACACAATTACCCTAGTAAAAGCATATCAATAACCTCTTCAACTCAACCACCAACCTCAAAAAAAAAAAAAAAAAAAAATCGTATCTAGGAGTATTTTTATGACAGCAACCCCTTCAACTCAACAACCAACCTCTAAAACAACAAAAATCAAACCCATTTTGCATGCTAGTGCTTCAAATAAACATATTAAAATTGAACATAGATAGTGATTAATTTTGTGTCTAGAATCTCTAGATACTCAAATTTTAATTTGGAGAATTTATTAGAATACTTTTACACATTCACAACTATTTCTACTCATGATCTGGTGACTGGGTATTTTGAAATAAAATTAAACTATATGAATAAATTGTTAAATAGTTAATATCTCATGGGATTTTAATGAATTTTCTTTTTAATTTTTGAAAATACTCACCTAGTGATTTTAAGATAAATTCCAAAATTTTAAACAAAAAGCCCTCCTCAGTAACTTTTCTTTTTTTTTTTTCTAAGGTAGCATGTATACAATGTACACCAGATGGAGTATGTTAGTACTAATGTGTGCCATTCACCTCAAAAGTAACGGCCCCACGAGGCAGATAAAACCCAAAGAGGTTGCTTCCCAACTCAAAAGCTGGTGACAAGGACCAATAACCAAAGAATCAAAGTCCACTTTTTTTTGTGGAAAAATGGGAAAGTAAAATGACTATGTAACAAGGGAAGAAATCTAGGATTAAGACACTATTTTCCCATGTCAATTCAATACAAGAAGAATATAATTGACGAGCATATCTACACGAAGAATATTTCACATCACAAAGTCCGAAGAGCCCTTACTGGGCAAACATGAATAATTCATCCTTTCAATATAACTAGTATAAAAAGATAAAAAGAAAAAAAGAAAGAAAGGGGGGAATAGACAAGGTACACCATATTGGAGGTGTTTGGATATGGTGCACCACAGTGACATCTAATTCACTAGCCCGAGATCTAGTTCGCTAGTCGGGTTGAACCGATGGTGGATATTGAAGATACTTGGCAATCGCCTGCCATCACCGTTCCTTGAAGAGAGATTCGACACTGCATAGCAGTGTGGTCCACCATGTAGTACACATCAATGTTGTATATGGTGTTGTTCCATAAAAAAGACACCTAAGATTTCCCTAGTATCATACTGTACTTGTATTTCCATTAGTTGTAGCACCCATGTGTATCCTCCCATTAGAATTGTCATTAGCACTAGCACCATTCTTATTCCCAAAATAAACCCATGCTTGAACCCCCCAATCCCACAAATGCAGCACCACATATGTCCCAATCCCACCTATGAGCCCATAGGCTATGGAGTAGGTCAAGGGCATAAGGAGCAATGTAACAAAGGCAGGGATCCCTTGCTTCATGTCCTCCCAATCAATCTCAGTCACACATCTCATCATCATCACACCGACCAAGATCAACGGCGGGCCGACCGCCCATGCGGGGATCGACGCCAGCAACGGCGTGAAGAACAACGCCAGAAAGAAGTAAAATCCGGCCATCAATGCAGTTAGACCTGTTCGACCCCCCTCTTTGATTCCGGTCGATGACTCGATGTATGCAGTCACCGGCGATGTCCCAAGCAACGATCCGATCACGATCGCCGTTGCATCGCTCATGAAAGCAAAATATTGCCCCTCGAAGTTGCCCGACTCATCGACAAAACCGGCAAACCTAGCCAAAGAATACAATGTCCCGGTTGTGTCCAATATGTCGACATAGAGGAAAGTGACTAAGGCTTCCCAAAACACCCCTTTCCCGAAATCCGAAAAGTCGAACGCGCCGGCCGTCTTTTCGATTTTGTGGAGGCTAACCACTTCCTTGAAATATGAGTAGGCCTGATTGCCGGCTGGTGTGTTCGGAAATGCAGTCACAGGGGTGTTCCGGAACCAAGAGATCGCGGTCACGACTACAATGCCATAAATCATGGCACCTTTCACTCTGTGGACGAGACAGTAGGCGATCAGAACGAACCCTCCAAGTGCAAGCCAAAGGGTGGGGCTCTCCATGCGGTGGTTGAGGCAGAGGACGGCGGAGGAGGCAGTCACGCCGGGGATGGCGGTGCCGGTGGTGGCATTTACGGGGAGGAGGGCGGCTCGGTGCTCCGGGGCACAGCCTCCGAGCGTGACGAGCGTCGAGGAGCTGAACCCGACGAGGCCGATTCCTGTAAAGAATTGGCACAAACATGTTCTTAGACTGATAGTTGAAACAAAACAAATTACCAAACAAAGAAAAAGAAAAAACATGAAGCATGAAAAATAGTACTATCACATACCATTAAAGAATTCTAAATTGCAAAAGACTTTTAAGTTTATCAGAAATTACTTCTACAGTATTGATACACTGAAAAGACTTAGAATTCAAAATAAGAGATCTTAACAGTTAGCAATTGAACAAACAGAAATGACCTAGAAATAGATTTAATTAGCTGTCAAGGGCAAAAATTTTCACTAATTAAGAGATCCAAGGTCTAGTAAGACCTGTACTTCAGTTTAAGTTGATTTTTTAAGACCATGAGAAGAATTTCAGAAATAAATTGCAGAATTCATAGTTTTTTTTAAAATTAAAACTCTCAAAAGATGCTGTCTAACATAAGAAAACTTCCGTTTATTTTCTTTTTGCCACTCCAAAAACAGAGCAACCAAACATAAGAAAACTTCCACTAAGTTTATTTTCTTTTTGCCACTTTAAAAAGAGAGCAATCAGCCAAATTCATATCCAACTATAAAATTAGATAGTGCTTCAATCGATTAGTACTATAGAAAGCAAATTTAATTTCTCATTGATTAGTACTATAGAAAGCAAGTTTAATTTCTAAATTAAGTGGTCCAATTAATTAGTAGTGCG